AAATTTAGGTCAGGGCTAAGGGCATTTCAGGTCAGTTCCCTGATACCTCCTCCTGCTCCAGAAGATTGAGAAGTTTCTAGAAGGCACTGGGTGGGGTTGAGGAGGGGCTAATCTGCATACTCTGACCAATACTGAAGCAGGAGGCTTGGCATGGGGTCAGGACAATCCTTAAGCATTGGTGAGCCTGATCAGGAGGTGGTCAGTGTCGGGTGGAAGATGATGTGAGAAGGCTGGAATGTGGAACCTAGGAGGGGATCAAGGGAGGGGCCCACCTGCAGGCAGGATCTTGGAAGGAGAAACACTTAGCCTCAACCGTCCCCTGAGAGAGGACAGCCCAGGAAGAAGGGAAGGAGCCAGCCCAGCGTGAGGCTTGAAGGCAGCCACCAACCCATATGCTTACAGGAGAGGACTGAGTGAGTAATCCTGCACCTCCTGGGCCAGATAAGGGGAGAGGGCAGTCAGGTGGCAAACCCAACTAGCTCCTCGTCGTCTGGTGCTGCTCTACTACAGTGGCAGTTTCTTGGTCCCCTTGCTCACGTATTCTCTCATGTAGGCGGCTGAAGAGGACGATTCTTCTGAGGTCTGAGGAGGTACACCAGAAGGGCTGGAGAGCTCTTCAATGAGAGCCTGTTTGTCTATGGACTTTTACATAGTTGCTAAGGAGATTTGTCCTCATATTCACAGTTTCTTGGGCATCCCATACATCTCTCAAACCCAGCCAAGTTCAACCCATTAATAAAACTAAACAAAACAAGCTCAAGGACTGTTTACTGTCTCCAGTGTGCAAGTGTTAAAGAAAATGCATGTTGCCTGGTTATGCAGGGCTATAGGGGGACCCAAAACTTAGAGACTCCTAAGAGGTTAGTGTTACAATAGTAACGTCTACACTACATAGTTGGAATAAGATTTGAGCCAGGAATGTCCAGCTACTTTCCCTTTGACATGTACATTAGTCTGAACACTCTTCTATATCTACAATCAGCTTTAGAAAATAAATTACTTAACAACCAATTTATAATCAGGGCTGCTAAGCCCATGAAGACAATTTTGTCTAGTACAACTGTTAAAAGTATGAAGTCAAGACAAGGCGATGACAGTTTCTGCCTATTCTCACAATACAACAAGGCTTTCTGAATCAAGTTTTGAAAGCTGAAACTGGAGCTCCAGGATATTTATCCAAACTGCAGTGAAGCTTCCCCATGGGCACAGACAGACACTTATTTCCTAGCCTAACAGGATGTCAGTACAGCACCTCTGCTGTATGTTTTGGTGGGGATATTAAGCTAAATATGACAAGGACATAGTGGGCCTTTGTATGAGGGGAAATTGGCACAGCTAAATACGATGTAAACATTTTAACACTAGTGTATGACTGAAAAAATCAAAGAAAGAATTTTCTCATTAAAAGAAAGTGTTATTAAAACTGTAAAATGGGTATTAGTTAAGCTTACCCCCGGCTTTAGGCCAAGGTTTTCATATGACTGAACTGTCAAATCATGTCCAAAATTAAAATCTAAGTTAAAGTACAACTAAATCTACCATACAAATCCCACATCCAGTTACTATGTGATTCACAAGCATTGTAAAGTAAACAAAAACTTCCTATACCTTCCCTGACTGAGCCAAATCCTCCTTCAATTACATCTCACATGCCTCACATGACTCACATGCGGAATTCAAGGTTGCCGACCTACTGTAGCCTTCCATCATGTAGGGGGACTGGAGGTCTGCCCTGAAAACACCATCCACGGGACTCTGCCAACCATGGACATGCCAGGAATGAACTTTACCTATAAAGGTATGCCAGGGCAGCACACAAGCCTGAGATGTAGGAAAGAACTGTATTGTACCCTGAACTTTGTTATGTTCGTAATTTCCCAGTAAAACCTTTTAACTTTGTTGTTTGCCTGGTCTGAAGTACTAAAAAGAGGTGTAATGCATGTAACGGGCACACATAACCTACAGTTTGGGTCAGTTAAGACACATTGAGGTATGAAGACACAAGTAGTTACCAAGGGTAATAAAGGTTTCACAAGCAACCTGTCGTGAAGTGTGTCCCTGTGAGAGGTGGGACAGCCTCTTGTAGCAAGGTAGTTGTTGTTGGCATGTTTCCTCTGGCGGGCTGTCTCCCATGGTAATGGGGAGAAGATGAGCGCGCAGAGGTTCCCAGCCTGCACACTGGGTATGACAGAGGAGGAGTTAAGTGAATGCATGGATGGAGTCCACGCTAGGTGCACAGTGGGGATCCATTCCGCTACTGGGAGTAAGGTAGTAGAGATACTTTAGACAGGTGGAATGGGCATAGGCTCAATGTGTCCCTCCTAAATGCAACAAGTGAAGTAGTGGTTCATATTAGCATCAAGAGAGTGTATTAGATTTCAGTCTACTGTGCAAGTAAAGGTACCCCATGTGTAAGGCAGTGATCTGTCTCAGGTGCCTAGCATAGCCCAGAAGAACCCACACCAGGGCAGGCCTCCTATGTGACCCACACTTGCATTCAACGAGGAAGGGAACATGGAGAAGGTACCACTAGCCTACCCTTCCCTTACCTGCTTATCTATTAATACTCAGATCTCACTGTCCTAAAACCCAACTCCAGCTTATATTTTTCTTTAGTTTTCAATAGCGTAAGACTTAAAACTAGTCACTAAGATCAGAAAGGGTAGGGTGCCAGTATCAAAGGGACAAGAGGGCGCAAAGCAATAAAAACCTGACAGAAGTTCTAATCCTTCCCTACTCTACTAAATGTAGTGCTCACCCCCAAAAAGCCTGCTTGATTCTGCAGGTTCTTCTGCAAGTTAGTGCAGAAGCAACAAGGCACACAGCAAAAGTTCACTCACTCTGGCTCAAAAATCATTCTAGGGGATGTCTCTTCTTTTTATTGATTGCGGAAACTTGTAACCAGGGAGGACAGTGGAGTATGGGATACTACCAAAACCTCTAGGCACAAATTTTACAAAGAACACCTCTCTAGGTGATAGCAACACAATCTTTCACTCCCACCTGTGGACCAAGAGAACATTAGTGTAGCACTACCCCCTTAAGGGCTGCTGGATTTGAATTTGGTCCCCCTATATCCTGCACGGCCAGGCAACACGCATTTTCCACACTTTGCACACTGGAGTCAGTAAACAGTCCTCAAGCTTGGTTTTGTGTTTTTTATGAAGGGGTTAAAGTTGGATGGGGTCTAGAGGTATATGGGATGACCGAGGAACTGTAGAACTTGAGGACAATTCCTTAGTGACTATGTACAAAAATGCAGATAGTCTCTCTATGAAGAGCATTAAAGGCTTTCTAGTGTAGCTCCTCAGACCCTGGATGATTCCTCCTATTCACCCAGCTGCCTGAGTGTATCCCTGGGCAAGGGGGCCCACAAGCTGTCAATTTAGAACAGGCCCATATGAAAAGCTAGTTGGGTCTTGCACCTGAGGATGTAAGAGCTCTCACATTGTCCTCTCCTGTTATCTTCATGTGTTGGTGACTGCCTTCAGGCCTTACGCTTGGCTGGCTCCTTCCCTGTTCCCCAGGCTGTCCTCCCCAGGAGACCTTGAGGCAGTGAAGATCCTCTTCTCCAGCATCCTGGCTGAAGGTAGGCTCCCCTCCCAGTCTCCTCACTCCACTCCAATGACAAGGGATTTGCCAAGGTCCCTGAAACATGCAGATCTGGGTCTCCTCCCCTCCCTTCTCCTGCTCCAGAAAGCTCTCATGTTTCTGGAAAGATGTTAGGGCTCCAGAAGCCCTGACCTGTTAGAACCTCCCAGCCTGTCCTGAGGTTACCTCACTACCAGGCTGACTCATCCCCAGGCTGCTACTCTATCTCTAGCTAACAAAAAGCTACCAAACTAACCTGGAGGGCATTACAGGCACAGAATTAGCAGAGGAACCTCTCCACTAGGTAGTAGCAATTATCTTTCACTGCCAGCCGTAGGCCAGGAGAATGATAGAGCATGGGGGTAGGACATGAAAGTAGACTGGAACAGTCTAAGTTTATTGCTGCTGATAACCACAAGATAGAATTGGGTAGTTATTAGGAGCAGACTGGAACAGTCTGGGTTTCTGTTGCTGAAGACCACAAGACAGAATAGCACACTAGGCATACTGGTACTGCTTTTAACTCCTTGACCTCCAGAAGGTTTTACCCCCTTCATGACCACAGCATTGTTTGCTACTTTAACTCGCAATTGCTTGGTCATGCCACACTGTACCAAAATCAAATGTACATACTTTTTTCACACATATATAATTTTTTTTTGCTCTATAAACAAAAAATACCAAAAATATTGAAAGAAAAACCTAATTTTTCTTAGTTACTGTTATAAAATTTTGCAAATAAGTAATCTTAAATTTAGGCCAAAATGTAGCCTGCTGCATTAAAGGCAGTCTCCGGGTTACGAACAAGATAGGGTCTGTAGGTTTGTTCTTAAGTCAAATTTGTATGAAAGTTAGAACAGGTACATTGTTTAAGTGTAGCCCCAGCCAAAAAAAATAATTTTTACATTTTTTGGATAGCATAGGGAAGGGTTAACACCCCTGTAATGTTTCAGCAAAAAAGGCGGAAGGTTGGAGTGTACTCGGGTGTCAGGTCACTTCCAAGAAATGTATACACTAGTGCCACGTCCTGTTTAACCACTAGCCTTCAGGGTACTTATACCCCCTTCCTGCCCAGGCCAATTTCCAGCTTTCAGCGCTGTTGCACTTTGAATGACAATTGCGCGGTCATGCAACACTGTACCCATATGAAATTTTTATCATTTTTTTTTAGACAGATAGAGCTTTATTTTGGTGGTATTTAATCACCTCTGGGTTTTTTATTTTTTCTTAAACCAAAAACTACTGAAATTTTTTTTAAAAAAAGTTTTTTCTTAGTTTTTGTTATAAAATTTTGTAAATAAGTGATTTTTCTCCTTCACTGATGTGCGCTAATGAGGCTGCAGTGATGGGCACTGATAGGCTGCACTGATGGACACTGATAGGTGGTACTGATGGGCACTGATGAGGAGGCACTGGTAGGTGGCACTGATGGGCATTGACAGGCATCACTGATGGGCACTGAAAGGCAGCACTCATATATGGCACTGATAGGCAGCACTGATAGGTGGCACTGATAGGCGGCACTGACTGGCACTGTTAGGTGGCACTGACTGGCACTGTTAGGTGGCACTGACTGGCACTTTTAGGTGGCACTGATAGGCAGCACTGACAGGCACTGATAGGCAGCACTGATGCACACTGATAGGCGGCACTGACTGGCACTGTTAGGTGGCACTGATTGGCAGCACTGATAGGTGGCACTGACTGGCATTGATAGGTGGCACTGATGGGTGACACTAAAAGGCAGCTCAGATGGGCACTGATATGTGGCATTGATGTGGCACTGATGGGCACTGAAATGTGGCACTGATGTGGCACTGGCAGGTGGCATGGATGAGCAATGAGTGCTGGCACTGATGGACACTGACAGGTGGCACTGCTGGGGCTACACAGATCATCAGTGCTCTGATGATCTGTGTACATGTCCCCTCCGAGGAATGCCGATTACTGGTTCTCCTCTTCTCATGAGCTGTCAGCGTGACAGCTCGTGGGAAGAGAAATGCCGATAACTGACATTTCCCTGTTTACATGTGATCAGCTGTGATTGGACACAGCTGATCACATGACCAAGCCGACATCTTCGGCTCTTTCCGTGGATCAGTGATCCACTGTTTCCGAGGGACACAGTGCACCGCCAATCGGCGCACTGCACGCTCTGGAAGCCGCGCATGCGCGGTTAGAATGGAAGGACATCAAATAAGAACGAGAGAACCACCTTGCGTCCGTCATATTACTATATGGTGGGCGGGAGGCAGTTAAACCAGACAAGAGAAAGAAAAAAAGGGGAAGTGCAGATGGACTTTAAAGGCACAGAAACTAAAAACACATATTGGTAAAATGACTTATACTTTATTTTGACAATGTGTCACAAAAAACATCATTCACTTAAAAAATCATTGTACAACGTCCCCTCAGACAATGTCCCAAAGCCCATCATATTGTATGGAACAAAACTAGTGATAAGGCATACTGTAACCACCAGGAAAGTCCTATGGGGGGGGGGGGGGGGTGAGAGACATTAAGCCACTGGAAGAATGGCCCAACATGTTTCGCGACAACAATCGCTTCTTAGTAGTAAAATCTAAAAAAGAGATATATGTATATTTGAATTTACAAAAATACATCATAATGATGCAGTAATGGTAGAGTTCTCCTTTAAAATGGACCAATGTGGTAACACCCAGCTAGTGCAGAGTTCCTCTTAAATATGTAAGGTCTTAGTTTGCAGAATTCAGCTAAGCTCTGACTTCTCCCTCATATTTCCTGTAACAATGGCCTGTCTCAATTTAGCAGGTGACAAGTCTGAGCTGAAACTGCAGATATCCTATAAGTTGCTTTTCACAGTTATGAGAAATGTTAAAGGGAAAATGTATGCTTTGTGATGTAATCGTTAGTATATACGCGCTTGTTAGGAGGGTATACCAGGCACTTAGCAGATGAGAGTGGCTTGCCGTCTGCTGGGTCACTACAGCACTGTTTTTAATAAATTTGTTTTCCTCAAGAAGTCCGGAGTTTTATCTGATTTGGCAGAAATTGCTACAACAATGTAAATCTGAAAAGAGTCATACAACAATATAGTAGGACTTAGATATAATGTTAATTTGCACCATGCAGCGGTAAACCCCTGAGTCATAGAGGGCAAGACTCCTCTGCGTTCCCATGGGGCGAGGGGCCATCCAGGGGGCCCAATATGGGGGCACAGTAATAGCCAACAATTCAGAGCCCCGAAGGCCTAGACCAACCAACAGAAAAGAAAGGAAATACTAAAAAACTCAAACCAAGGTATAAAAAGATATATAAAAGGTATATAGATGTTTTCTTACATCAGGCCATACCAGTGATAAAATGCTGGTTAACTAAGTGTTACCTTAAATAGGTGTTGTTTTAACAAAAACCACGATTTCTTGCAGGAATGAAGACTTGTTCTCAAGCCTAGGCAGGAGATGTAGAGGAGGGAGAGGCGGCACACCCCCTAATGTCCAAGGGCGGAAAAAATGGAAAAGTACCAGAGTGGGACAGACTTAAAGGGTAAAAAGGCTCCCTATAATATTATAATATATATCGTTAATGTATAATGCTTGTTCAGAGGGCCTTCCCCAGGATAACCCGTTGCATAGTAGCATAAAGTACGGTAACCTACCAGATATACCAAAAATACACCTGGGTCAGCCTATCAAAAGTGTAAAAGGATAATGAAAAAATGGTCCCAACCTTCTGCTTGAAAGTAGGCCTGGGAACATAAACAAAAATAGAAAGAAAAAACATTATCTTTTTGGCTACTTATGGAAGGATAAAATCATCCTGATGCTTCAGAATGAAGTGTCTTAAAAGTGTTGAAAAATACCGGCGTTAAATTGATAGGGTGAGCGCAAATTGTCCTCCGGGGAAGAGACCCAAACCGCAAGAAAAAGCAATGGCATCCGCGCCTAGAGGCACATATACCTGATATCCTACAGGGCAACCAGCCCTGAAAAGAATGGCACTGAGAGGCATCGAACTGAGGTCTATAAAGCGCCCCAGGCATGGCGTGTTCACGTCGGAGCGCATCACGCCACCACATCCAGCCATCAGTGGTATAGCTGGCGTGCCAACACCACGCATGCGCCAAGGGGCGCGGCAGGTTGGGACCGCTCAGGCGCACAGGGAAGAACGGGTCCAGAGAGGGCCCGTCCCAACCACGGCGCGGAAATCCAGCCCCAAGGGAGGGCAGAGGACACCGCAGCCACCCGACCTCACATCAGGCCCAATTAAGAACAGCCCCCACCCCCCAGAAACAGCAAGGAGCAAATGCAGGTCTGATCCCTAGAGGTCAGGAGGGACAACAGCAGCAAGGTGCACATAAGTAGTAACACATAGAACACATGGTGATATTGTAGTAGACGGTACTACAGCATAACATACGAAATATTACATAAGATAAATAAAATAAAGTAAACCGGTCATAGACTACAGCATGATGGGAATTGCAGCAATAGCAAAAAAGAGGACATCAAAGGTATTGAAGTAATTTTACCAAAAGAGTCAAGGCATTAAAACAGTGATACAGGGAAAAAATTGAAAGCGCAGGGGAAAAAAATGCAATGAAAAGCCATAATGGTGTCCCCAGAAACTCATCCATGTAACTGAAGCCCATATAGCCATAGAATAGATGATAGTAGGGATCACTATATAGAACCCCTGGTGATATATAAATGCCATGTACATTCGGTTTAATTGCATATGGGCCAGAGACAGACACAACATCCATTATTGTTATTCCCGGTTCCAACAAAAGCAGACAGCCTAAGTAGGAAAGCATGTCCACACTAGCATGCTATACAGAAGGACCTGTACTCTGTGTTAAAGCAGTGGACTCTCTGTAGAAGTCCAACACAATCAGGTATGAATGCATTGAAGAACATGACAGTACTGGTTGTATATGCAAGCGCATTGCGTTAAATTATCTGTATTCTAAATAAGCTCCTGTATTTATCCTTCTTTTGTTAACAAGGTTTATGTAAGTTAATTAATACCATTGTATCCTAACTTTATTAAAGCCTTAAACTAATTCAAAGCAGTTGGTGAAACATTTTTGAGGAAGTTTATGTTGGATCTTTTATAATGCTACAAATAAAATATACCCCAAGGACAAGAATAGTTTTCAGATGTTTTCTGTAATAAATCATATCAGTTTAGACATCAATCCATGACCTTTATATGCTGGCGTTTGTGGAGCTGGCTTTCACAAAATCAATCACATTCTTCTTTAAGCTTTATTGTCTCTACTGTCCAAATTATTGAAAACAATATAAACATAGATATAATTTGACTTGTATAAAAAAAATCTACAAACATTATAGTGTAAACTCTGACAATGTATTTCTGTTATTTGCTCCCTTTTGGTCTATTAAATATGTAATTTAACAATTTAAAAATCTCTGTTCATTCATTTGGAAATCTTGTGAGCTGATAACATCTGTGCTTTCTGCCTTTGGACAGTTATCAGTTAGCATTGTTCCCAACAGGGGCGAACTGACAACTCATGTGGCCCCCGGGCAATAGGGGATCATGGGACCCCTGTGGCCTTGCCCAAACTCAAAAGAGCATATGAAAAAGGTACCAGGGGCATCTCATGGGGTCCCCTACTGACCCCGGGCCCCCGGGCAGTGCCCGAGTTTCCAAATGGTCAGTCCGCCCCTGGTTCCCAACTATCTCAGTGGACTCAGATGGAGATGTTTTGTAGTCCCAACACACCCCTGTCATAGGGTGACACCACTGCCTAGAACAGTTGTCAGCCTAAAAACAGGAATGGGTTAATGACAGGATTACTAGGTTAAAATACAGGAGAAAAAAATGTGAAAAAGAAAATGAATGCAGGCACCACATCTAAGGACACATAAGCTGTAATACTATCAATGTTTGTTCTTGGGTTTAGATATGCTTTTGCAAATATTGTATATCATTTAGGTTACTCATACACAAGAATTTCTGTTTGTTTGGTTCATAAAGAAGGAGACCCTTAAGCTGGCAATAGATGGGTCGAATGCTCTCAAACAGGATTAGCCAGCTGAGCCTGGTGCTTGTGGGGTGTCATTGTATGCATTTCTTCTGTTCTATTCATTGCACTGTGTAATTATTTATTTATTACAGGTACTTATATAGCGCCATCAATTTATGCAGCACTTTACTTGTGTGTGTGTATATATATATATATATATATATATATATATGTATATACATTGACATCAGTCCCTAACCCTCAAGAAGTGTACAATCTAAGGTCCCTAACTCACATTCATACATACTAGGGTCAATTTAGACAGGAACCAATTAACCTACCATTGTGTCTTTGGAGTGTAGGAGGACACCAGAGCTTGCAGAGGAAAACCATGCAGGTACAGGGAGAACATGCAAACTCCAGGCAGGTGGTGCTTTGGTTGGGATTTGAATCAACAACCTGTAAAAAACTACAAAAACTGTAGCTGCTGACTTTTAAAAAACAGCCACTCACCTGTCCCACGATCCTGTGGTGTTCTCCCTGCAGCCTGTTTCACCAGCCGTCTGGTGTTCCAGGCGCGGGATTCTTCAGTGTGGGCACCCGGCTGTGACAGCTTGTGGCTTCACAGCTGGGTGCCTACTGCGCATGTGCGAGTAGGAGAACAACTTCCGCTTCTGATTGCCTAGGAAACCGCAGCAGAAGTGTTAGCGGGTACCTGTCAATTTCGGGTACGCGCTCCTCAAAGGTGCCAATCCTTAATGGGGAGCGGGGGACCAGACTTTAAGGAGGAACTTCCCCTTTTGGATGGAGCTCCGCTTTAAGGTCAGGAGACTGTGACGACCAATCCAGAACCTTTACCTTATTCTGCTGTAACTACTGGAAGGTCAACTTGTCCTTGTGGTTACGGTCATTGTCATGTTAGGAAGTCCAGGAGCATCCCATGCACAGATTTCGTGCCAAAGAATGCAAATTGTCAGCCAGTATTTTCCAATAACATGCTGCATTCATCTTGCCATCAATTTTCACAAGATTCCCCAAGCCGTTTTAGAGCTCACAAAACATCAGTGAGCCACCACCATGCTTCACAGTGGGGATGGTATTCGTGTCACTCCAAACATAGTGCTTATAGTTGTGACCATAAAGCTT